CTTCCCTGAAATCCAGCCTAGCATCGTTCTCACCCTTTATCTTTGTCAGCAGAAAGACACAGAAAACTCAGAGGAAAAGTGGCAAACAATAAAATATTCAGCCAGGGACAAAACCTGTGTTGTTGTGTTGGTGGGACAAGGGCAGCTCTGCAGATACCTCTGTCCTGTTTGTTTGTTCCTTACCAGAAAACTAAACAAATAGGTTTAGGTGCTGGGATGCTGCTTTGTTTTGTTTTCCCAGTAATTGCAATTAGCCACTGGATTTTAGAGGACAGAGTGAGTGTGCTGGAGATACTGAGATCACCTTGTCCTGCCCCCTGCCTTCTCCAGCCTCCTCACTGGGCTGAATTAGCCACACACACAGCCCAGCACCCCTGGGATCCAAACAGACCAGCAGCCAGGGCTGTGACTCCTGGGATGAGGCAAGTGTGAATCCAAGGATCCCATCCCAGGGCTGCATAAGCCTCTAGGTGAAGAAGTCTTTCCTAATGAAAAAAGGGAAGAGAGTAGGTTTAGATGAGATATTAGGAAGAAATTGTTCCCTGTGAGGGTGGGGAGGCCCTGGCACAGGTTGCCCAGAGAAGCTGTGGCTGCCCCTGGATCCTTGGAAGTGTCCAAGGCCAGGTTGGACAGGGCTTGGAGGAACCTGGGCTGGTGGAAGGTGTCTCTGCCCATGGCCAGGGGAGGGAATTGGATGAGCTTTAAGGTCTGCTTCCCCCTTGCCCCACCAGCTGCGGGACTGACTTCCTTCATAAATGTCCATGGATGCAAAACCGTATTCACAAGCACATAATTACCAAGCTGGGTATTTTCTCCTCTTAATTAGCAATGCCGTGGTTCTTTAATTGCTCGATTAAAGTTGCCCACAAGGAAGGTTTAAGGTACATTAAATCTGCTGATTGGTTCATCAGCATGAATCCCACCAACTGGAAAAAATTAACTGGCTTCCAGATTGCTAACCAGACTCTCCAGATCCATTTCCAGCAGCCGTGTCCCACAGGAGGCAGGAGAGAGCCCAGCAGTCCTTCCCCTATTCCCACTTCTCCTTCAGTTTGGGAGCTGGAGGAGAAGAGCAGTGGTAGCCTCCCTCTCTTCTCTTGCCCAGAGGACAAAGGCCACTTCTTGGCTGAAGCAGAGCTGGGTAAAGTCTAAACCAGGGCCAGATCCTCATTCAGCCACACACAGCAGACCCCTGTTTGGTGGCTACAGACACCCATCCTCATGTGCAAATGGGCTGATGGAGCAGGAATTAGGACTTGCTCAGGTGCTGCTCCCCCATCCCTGTTTTCCATCCAAAGGGAACAGCCAGGCTGAAGGCCCCGGGCACAGCAGAGGGAAAGCAGAACCACTTCTGACAGCCATGGATATACCACAAAGATGCTCTTTGGAAATGGTGTTTCTGCCAAAGGCTCATCCACCTGCTCTCACAACAGGGAAGAGGACTTGTCCCTCTGTTTTACCCTTTTCCACTTCTTCATTAAAGAAAATGCTTCCTGGGAGATTCTGTGCTCCTGGAGGCCTCCATGGCTGGATGCTGGATGGGTTTGTGTCAGCTCCCAGACAGCAGCACTGTGATCTGTAGCCATGGCACTGCCACTGATGCTCCAAACTGACTCTCTGTGCATGGACAACCTGGGATCAGCTGAACAGATTTTAGCTCAATTTTAAGTTTTGCTCACTGATAACTGGCGAGAGATGCAGCCCAAGGAATAATTCGGGGTCCCAAAAGGTGGACCCTCATGCAAGGACCGTGGCTTTACCAAGATCCATCCACCAAGGACCATCCCACAAAGTCTTGGTGGCTCAGGAGCCTGGCAGCCCTTCCCAAAGAGGACATGGTAGGAGGGATGTGGTTGAAGAGCCACTGTCCTCACCTGCCTGAGCTTCCCATCCACTTCTCCATCCATCCACCCATGGGACATGGTACACATGTCTCAGCCCTCAGCCTTTGAGGACGTGGGTTACAGGTCCTTCCCTTCCCACAGAAGCAAAACCAGGGTTAACAAGCTCCCCTTTCCCATCTCTCTAATTGCACTGACCTTATTGAAATGGATCTCTTATTTGTCCTGCACAGCAGCTGCATGTCAATAAGGTGAATTATGCTGATTGCCTCCTTATCTGATAAATTGCTGGGACAGATCCTTTTCTCTCCTGCTCTTGCTTATTCTGCTGTTTAGGCAGAGCAGTTGCTATTTGCTGTGTGTAAGAGATGTTAATGTGTGGACTGATGCACTTCAAGGAGGAAAGAGCAACTCTGAGGCTGTGGGTGATGGGGTGAGGGAAGCAAAGTCCTTCAGAACCTTGAAAACCGAGGGAAAAACAAGTGGGGCAGCAGGGCTGTGCTGTCCCAGGAGGGATTTCATCCTTGTGGTGGCTGTGGCAGAAGGTGCTGTGGGGCTAAACTGATGGGAATTTTGGGAGCTGGCAGACCCCAGGATGCCATCAGGAGCTGTGGGAATTCCTGCTCAGACCTGGTTTCTGCCCAGTAAGGCACTGCAGCACACGTGCCCATTCACAGCTGGAGAAGGGGGTCACATCTGATGCCAAGCCAGCTTGGCATCCTCAGGTGGTCCTGATCCCAGTGTCCCAGGGCTGAGATCCGGCCCCCTCGATCCCATGGAAACTACCCCTCACATCCTTATGGCAAATGCTAAGACATCAAAACAAGGTGAAACGTGTGGATCCCACTGAGACGGGTGCAGAAGTCAGAGATCCCAAACACCACCCTCCTGTCCCCCAAAAAGGGGTATCCAATGTGATGGATGACAGGAAAGACCCATCCCTGGAAGTGTCCAAGGCCAGGTTGGATGGGGCTTGAAGCAACCTGGTCTAGTGGAAGGTGTCCCTGCCCATGGGAGAGGGTGGAAAGAGATGAGCTTTAAGGTTCCTTCCAACCCAAGCCAGGCTGTGACTCTATGACTGTAAAGGGGATGAGAGACAGAGAATTTCCCAGTGTTCCTACACATATTCACCATGTGGCACCTCACCCTGTCCTTCCCAGCTCTGTGGCACAACCTTCCTTCTCCTCTGAAGGGCTGGGAACAGCTCTGGCTTTGGTCTGGTTTCCTGAGCTGTCCTCCATCACTCTGGCAGGTCCTTAGAAAAATGAACGTTAAAGGGGAGAGGGAGAAACCTCCACTGTTCAAACATCTTTAGCTTTGACAGATAAGGTGTCTGGCTGTGAAAGGCAGAAGGAAATTAATTTGGAATCACATTTTAAACACTGCCATAGAGGCAAAGTATCTTCTCTCTAATTTCCACACATCCCCCTGCCCCCCTGCCCAAGCAAAAAAATGAATTTCCCTGATATTTATAGAAAGATTATTAGGGCCACTAGGAGTGATTTATATCATCTCATCCCTGTGGCCGAGAATGAAAAATTGCTGGGGCGACAGCGGCTGGAATCCTGCTTTTGTCCTCCTGACAATTAAAACGGCTAATTTCCAACTCCAACAGATCTGCTGGTGTTATAAATCACTCCAGGAAGGCATTTTTTTCAGCCTGAAAAGTGAACTCTGCCCTAATCAGGCACAAGATCAGAGATTTGCATCTGTTTGCTTTCCTGTGTAAATGTATGTACTCTTGCTCCACACCCACCCACCAAAGGAGATGGGGACAAGGAGGTGCTGCCCCTGCTCACTTGATGTGGGGTCATCAAACTGTGCTGGGAGCTGGGAAAATGTGACAGGGAAAGCAGGAGAGGAAGATGACACTGAGGTCAGAGAAAATCCAGTGGCATTTCCGTCCGGTTTCTGATGCCACAAGCCTTGGAGAGTTTTGCTGGGTCTGGGTCCCTCTCCATGCAGAAGGGCCACCTGGGAGCACATGTTGGACCACACTTCCTCCTGTGCCATGCTGATGGAAGGAGCAATCCCACTAGAAAAGGGCAGGAGGGCACAGTAGCCCTCCCACAGCTTTGCTTCCAGGAGAGAGCAAACCTGTCTGAGGAATCACAGGAAAACGAGGCAGCACCGATGCCACAGCTTCCCTCAGCCTCCTGGCTTTGGGCTCTCCTGGGGCAGAGACTGCAATACAGGACTGCTGGAGGGAAATACAGATATCAGGTGTTTGGTCCTTCTGAACCAACTCACAGATCTTTGCAGTGGTGGAGCTGGACCCAGCCCTCCAGGAGGCCCTTGCTAGTGTCCCCTCCCACAGTGGCATGTGCCTGGCCCCACACACACCTTGCACCCACTCTTTAACATGATGGAAGACCCTTTCCTATCTACCCCAGGATAACTCTCAAATCAATGGTCGCAGACAGGAAGAGTTTGGGATAGAAGCATTTATTCTGCCCATCCTTCCCACTCTATGTAGCTGTGGGAGCCAGCGCCAGTTCCAGCAGCCCTTGGGTCTATTCCAGCCCAGTGCTGGACGTCCTAACCTTGAGTCAAGTCTCCCTAAGACAAATCCTCCACTTGACATTTCCACGGAGCTCAAACAAAGGCCCCCGCACTCGTATTTGTGCTGCTCCCCCTCCCCACGTCCCGCGGAGGAACCGAGCGCAAACAAACCCGTGTGAAGGGCTCTCCCGGGGAGCTCTGTGCACACACATCCCCGCGCCAGCCGCACGCCTGCTGCTGGTCACCCCGCTTCCTTATCACAGTTTGTACAGTCGGCAGCTCACAGCCTGCCCAGAGGGCCCCCCGGGAAAGCTCCCCAGACCCCCGGACGTGGGGCTCGGCAGCAGCCCCGGGAGGGTGAGGGATGGACACAACGACCTTGTTTCATGAAAGCTCAGTGTTTTTCTTTTTTTTGTTTTCCTCCCTTTCAAACCCCTGCCAGCGGTGGGGGGGTGTTTTGGAGAGGCCAAACAACACATTTGGGAAGGGTGAAGCCAGCCAGCAAAGGCTTGGGCAGCCCTGGGCCTCCACCAGAGGCTGGCTGTGCCAGTTTTTGTGAAAAGGCATCTGTCCTCAGCCCTTCCCCAAAGAGGCAAGAGCCCCTTGCGGCCACCCCTCCCCTTGCAGGCACTGCGGGCAAGAAGCAGGGAGACTCACCCATGCAGGAATCCCGCTGCTCCTCGTAGCCAGCGCTGCACACGCACTTCCCGATGGGCACCAGCCACTCTCCCTCGGCGCTGCAGTACATTTTGGGGGTGTCCCTCTCCTCCGAGTGCCCCACGCACTCTCCCCGCACTTCCACCAGAGAGGACGAGTCCGCCCCAGTCACGGCCTCGGAGAAGGACGCCAAGTTCCTCACTGTAGCCGGGCACTTCTTGTAGTAGACCCGCACCGAGACGATGGCGATGCACGCCCCGATGTCCTGGAAGGCCAGGTAGAACCCCCTCTTGCTCAGCGGCCCCACGCCCCGCACCTCCGTGTTCAGCTTCAGGCGCCGCACCCCCAGGTCCACGTTGGTGAAGCTCTCGTCCGCCGCGATCGTGTCGATCTTCATGAACTGGCTCTCCCGGGTGCTGGTGCCCAGGTCCCGGTCGGACTCCATGTAGTAGAGGTTGAAGGTCTCCTTGCAGGTGCCCAGCACGCCTGGCATGCTGTTGCAGTCCCTCAGCGTGAATTTGATCTCCGCGTAGACCCGCCGCGCGCCGTCCCGCTGAACCCAGTTGGTCCGTAGCCAGTTGTTCTGGTTGGGGGTCATGACGTTGCAGACCTGGTAGGTGTGGATGGGGCTGAAAAACTCATCCATTTCATTGATGGAATCCCACTGTGGGACAGAGAGAGAACGGGTCATTCCGGGTGTCCCCAGCCACCGGCTGAGCACAGGGCATGCACAAGTCTGCCGTCTCCCGCCCCAGGATGAACTCCCTCTGCTCCTGTGCCTGGCTGGGAGGTCACTGCTGCCACAGGGCAAAGGGAAATGAGGAGGAGCAGCATTTAACCAGCACTGATTTGGGCAGTGACTCTCACAGCCCACCCTGCTGCAGCTCTGTGTGAGGTGCACACTCTCCATTCCCATCTGGGAACGCTTGTGTGAGGTTGATGTGCTGGCAGAGGCTGATGGCAGCATGTGCTTGGGAGGGCTCCAAACCCTCTAGATCATGTCTGTGAGTCCCTTTTCTTGGTGCTCAGCCTGTCATTTGCAGCAGCAGGAACCACCCGTGTGGTGCTCACCTGGGTCTCCTCTGGCTCATGCACTGTCCATGCACAGACTGAACTGGGTGCTTTCCATCTGGAGAAGGAGTTTCAGGGTGGGTAGCACAGGGTGAAGGGGAAGCATGCAGTGAACACAGGACTTCCAGCAAGAAACAGAGGCCCGTGGGGACTCAGAGCCCTCTTCTTCCCCACAAGGTGATACCAGCCTGTCTCCTCAGTGTGAACCCACAGTGCTCAACCCAGCTGAGAGGCTGGATGGGGACTGGCTCTGGGAACACAAAGGTTCGTGGCTTGACAGCTCTCGGGTGAAAATTGCATGTTGCAGTGGCAGCAGGGGGAGTCTGGGGAGGAGATGCTGGCAAAAGCAGGTTGCAGGAAGCAGGGTTGCAATGAAGGGTGGTCTGGGTGAGTTTAGAGGGACAGGGACATGGGTGTCACACAAGGGAGGGATGCTGAATGGGTTTAACTTATGAGAAGTAGTGATACTTTGAATACAAATGAATTCCATAGCTGAGGAACAAGCAGAACTTAGATATTGTGGGCTACAGGACACTTTGGGGGGCTCACTCTTGCCTCAGGTCTCCCTCTCGAACCTCAGCAACCCCTCGCCAGGACTCACAGACCTTCCCTTCTCTGGGAGCTTCCCACCACCTCTTCAGCTCACATTGCTGCCCAAACCAAGCACTCTGATCACACCCCCATGGATGGGTCTGGGACCCCTGAATTGTTATGGGAAAAGGGGAGGAGGTGGAGGAGCAGAGAACTTCAAACCTTCTGACTTTTCCCTGGACTTAGGAACAGGCTTTGAAGATGCCTGAGCTCCACTCTCATGCCCAAGTCCAGCTGTGAGGGGCAGCCCCAGATGCACTGCTGCAGAAGCTGGGGAAGCTGCTGACTGCTGCAGCAATTGCTCCTCTACCTTCCAAATCATCGCCCCTCTCCTCACACCAACATCAGTACCCCTCTGCCTGCACCATCCTGGGGTCCTGGCTCTGCCTGGGAGCTGGCAGGGAGCAGCCCCCACCTCGGCACCGTGTGTACCCAGCTGTCTGGGGGGAATGGGGAGCCAAGGAAAGCTCCAACCATGCCTGCCCAGAGCAGGAAAACAAATCTTTTAAGCAGCATTACAAGCACATTAAAATAAACTGCCAGGCTTGCCCTGACAGGGCAAAACCGGTGTTTTCTTATGCAAGTGGTGACCCGTGTTCCATTACAGATACGAAACTAACAGCAGTCCTGAGAGAAGGATGCTCAGCTCAGAGACAGTGAGCCTGAAACCTTCACCCCAGTGACTGTGGGAGCTGGCCAGGATGCAGATCCACTGGGACAGGCACCTGCCAGCCTTGCTGTGTGGCCACCAGCACTGCAGGGACAGGACACAGCTAGGAGAGGGCAGCACACCTCCAGAGCGTGTGAGATACTGGAAAGGTGTATCAGTGATACCTGTAAGACAACCCACTCCCTTCTCCCCTCTCAGATGGGAATCTCCTTCCTCACTCGACCTCCTTGACCTGCAGCTCCTGGGGAGGTGGTGTGGTGCCTTCTGCTCGTGTGAGGGTGATCAGAGCAGTCATTTTGGTGAGGTACATCTTTAAAACTTCCCCAGCATCATGCATTTAGGAGAAAACTCTGCTCTCAACTCCTAAAGAGCTTAAAGTAACTTGGAACAGGCGGTAGCTCCAGGTGCAAACTAACACAGAAACTCATTCCAAGGGGAGTATGTCTGCAAAGGGGGTGAAAGTCAAGCCACTGCCAGAGGAGAAAAATGTTTTTGGTTCATTTAAAAAACACTTGTCTTCTGAATTCCAGAAATGCCCAGGTTTGTCTGGGGATCACCGAGCTCAGGTAGACAACACGGAAAGGGGCCAGGCTACCGGTGTGCTTGGCTGGAGGGGTGAGGGCAGCACCCCTCAGCTTCTCCAGCCACAGAGACGAGCCTGTAGAAGGTGCTGTGACACCCAGGACACTCTCCTGCTGCTTGCCCAGGGTGTACAGTGGTGCTCAGGAGTGTGGGCAGAGCCAGGCACGGCACAGCCCTCTGCCTCTCTCTGCTCCCACACCCGCCCGTGCACACGCTGAGGCTCTTCCGAGGGTGTGGAAGTCGCTGTCGAAATTAATCGAGCACAAATTAACACAACATCTGCTTCCTGTCTTTTCCCTGCTGAGTTTCCCCGGGGGAAGTGAGGCAGAGCCGAGCATGGGAGGAGACACGTGGGGAGAGGGCAGAGCTGGGGGGGTGAGCAGGGATTACCCTCCAGCTCCCCTCGGCAATGCCCGTGGGGCCAGGGCTCTCCAGGAGTGTCCGGCAAGGGAAAGATGAGGTTATTGTGTGCACCAAAATGCTTTGGCTCCAGCTCGTGTGGTTGCTTTGGGTCTCCAGACAATCACTTCTCTCCCAAATCTGGCATAGGAGATGCAGCTCATGCCTGCAGTGTCCCCACACCCTCGTGGCACTGCCAGAGCTGGCAGAACAGGGAGATATAAATGCCCATCTCCAAGCACGGGCAACAGTCGGCATCAGCCTCATCTCCACCCCCCGGGGTGAACCTGGAGAGTTTGCATTTGCACCATCACTCTTTCAAACGTGGTGCTTTTTTTGCACAGGGGCTGCGCTGTCAGTTCTGTCCCGGGGTTGTAGGCAGTGCCTTGGGATCCCAGCCCGAGACCAGCACAAAACACCACACCTGCCCTGCAGGGAAAGTGCTCTGTGACCAGTGGAAACGGACAGGGGCAGGCAGGTCACCTGAACTCGTGGCTTGGATGCCACAGGTGCATCTTCCCAGCATGTCACGAGGCAAGAGAGGTCCCATGAGCTCTGCCAGACCCCAGGACCTGCAGGGTATTTGGAATCATAGAATCCCAGAATGGTTTGGGTTGGAAGGGACCATTTTGTTCCACCCCCCTGCCACGGGCAGGGACACTTTCCACTAGACCACAGTGCTCCAAACCCTGTCCAACCTGGCCTTGGACACTTCCAGGGATGGGGCAGCCACAGCTTGTCTGAGTAATCTGTGCCAGGGCCTCACCACTCTCACAGGGAGGAATTTCTTCCTAATATCCAATCCAAATCTACCCTCCTTCAGCTTAAAGCCATTCTCCCTTATCCTATCACTGTCTGACCTTGCTAAAAGTCCTTCTACAGCCTTCCTGTAGGCCCTTTTAGATCCCAGCATGGGGATGGAGGGATCTGCTTCAGGAATCCCCGTGGCTGGAGGGGTTTTTCTGTTTCGCCTCAGTTACAGGCTCCACGGGCAGGGAGAGGTGTCTGTGGCTCTGGGTACCACTGGGTGAAGAGTGCAGGCCCTGTGCACACCCCCAGCATCACCAGCTGGGGGGTTGAAGTGGTTTTATTAACCAAAGCTCAGCTCGGCCCATCCACTGCGATAAGATCCCCCAGTGAGACGGAAATGAGGACATCATAATTAACATGGTGAGCACATGTGCCCCGGGGGGGGGGGGTGGGACATGATTGCATCTGCACTCAGGGCTTTTGCCTAATAGTTTAAATTAAAGTCAACACCGGTTGTAAAAAAAAATTGCCAGATTATGAAAGGCAAAAAAGATGCAAACACCAGATATGTGGGCAGCTGAGCAAGGTCTTAGAAGTCTCCCAGGGCCTGTGTGGCACGGCCGAGGAGAAGGAGGAGGAGCAGAGGATGGGCTGTGTCCCCCTGGAGCAGCAGCTCAGCCTCCCACCATCCTTGCAGTGCCAAGGGACAAGGTCTCCCCAGTCCTGGGACAGCTTCCAGGAGGGATGCCAGGTCTGCCTGGCATAGCAATGCTTTTGTGGCCACTGAGACATCCAGCACTTTCCTTCCCAGTGAGCCACAACACTTCCCCAGGAGCTGCCAGGTCCCTCACACCACTGTTACTGGGAGACAAAAAAAAGAGAAGGATGTTATTGCAGCTATAAATCATCAGATGGGAGGCCTTAATGGAGATAATCCCCATGAAATCAGTCACTGCTGTGGCTAAGGAGGGATTTGTCAGGCAGTTAACTACCCTGAGCTTCACTGCAGGTGATTAACTCCTGGTAGTGACCAGCATCTGGGGAATTAGCAATAACCCAGCATTTACTGAACAAGCACTGGGAGATGAGCTTTTATCTCAATTACTAGTCTAAATCTTTATTTTCCAATGTTCCCTTCCAACCCATCTTTTTTTTTTTCAAAGAAAATTAATTTCACCACAGCTTGAGCTGTAACTTGCTGATATTCCTGGATCCGGGCAGAGGCTTCAGCTTGGAAGAGAAACACAAGAAATGCAACAAGGACATCGAAGTGAGGGAGGACAGAGACATGGCCTGGGCAGATGGGAGAGCCCCAGTATCTCTTGGTGCTCTGAGGAGAAAGAAATGACCCTGAAGGGAGTTGAAATGGCAAGGACACGGTGCAGCTTGGACTGGGGGCCAGTGTTTTACAGGGTGGGCTTGGGGTGAAGAGTCCCCAAGCTCTGTGACAGACAAGGCTCATCCAAGCCATGAACTGGTTGTTGGGTGCAGGACCAGAGCCAGGCAAAAGAAGTCCCCTGGTGCATAGGCTTTGCTCTGCAAACAGCTCAGTCCCAGGACATTTACAGCATCGTGAAATCCCCGTCCCTGATGCACAAACACTGCTGGGAAACAATCCTGCAGGCTCATCTGTGCTCTCAGCTGGGTGTTTCAGCAAATCTGGTGCCTCTCTAACAGTTTTCTCCCTGAGTAGGATGAGGGAGGAGCATTCTTGGCTACTTGTGCCCAGGGGCCTCAGGACACATCCCTTTACGAGGAGGAGAGGAAGGGGCAGAGATGGGGAGCTGCAAACCTCCTCTGAAGGTCTTTCCTGGTGCTTCCACCAACAAAGCCAACACGGAATATGCCAGGTGGGATTGCTGGGAATTGTGCAGGGCTGGGAGCTGGACTTGATGACCCTTGTGGGTCCCTTCCAGCTCAGGACATTCCACGATTCTGTGATAGGTGTAGAGGCAGCTGCCTGGGTGGCAGATGCCCACCAGCCCTCTGGGCTGACCCCAGTCCTTGCAGTGAGGGGGTTGTTGTGGGGCCAGAGCATGGAGGTGCTGATGGGAGGTCATAGGCAGCATGTGGGGGGCCTTTCTCCAGCACTCAAGGTGCTCCTGTTCTAATAAGCTTTTGCAAGGCATCACTCAAGCTCCTTAGATACCCTGTGTCTGAACAAAATCATTTCCTGTTTGACTTTGTAAATCAAAGTAGACGATACAATAATTATTAATAATATGTTGACTTATCTCATCAGCATTTTAATTAGTCAGTAGAAAAGCAATTTGCAAAGGGGCCCATCAGGCCCCCTCTGATCCAGAGGGTCATGTGCCGAGCAAGGAGAGGGGAGAGAAAGGCACTGGGGCACTGGGGCATTTTGCTGGGGAGAACTGAGATAGGAGGAGGCGTGGGAGGGGAAGGGGCAGCCTCTTTGACGGCACTGATAAGAGTTTAATTTTCAATGCAGAGGGAATTGTTCTGGGAAAGGAGCGAGCTGAAAAGCTCCTGGGAGACCTTTGAAGTTATAATTGAGAGGAGCCGCAGCCTGCGGGACAGGGATGCTCCCGGTGACCCTTCCGCTTCCTGCACGTGTCTCCAGGGTGGAGGTGAGGGGGGGGCTGCAATTAAACCCCTGAGCAGCAATTACAGCCAATTACCCCTCAGTTAATTGTCTGGCAAGAGAAAATGTCAAAACAGGCCAGGCATGGCTCCCTGATGGCCTGACACTGCCCAGGGCCCACAGCTCTGCTGACTCTCACCGTGCCCAACTGCTCCCAGCCCCTGCTCCTCCATTCTTGCTGGTCCACAAGAAGGGAAACAACCTTCCAGTGAGGCAAGGTTTGCCCACAGGTGGGATGAAAACATCAGGACTTTGTGGGTGGCACCCTTCCAGCTTTGCAGTGCTGATGCTTTGGACTGTTACCCTGACTGTGTGGGCAGCTCTGGGCTCAACCAGTCCAGAGGAGGAAACCTCTGAGGCTGCTGCCTTTCCTCTGGCATCCCCAGAAGACCCAGAGAGGTGGGACAGGATGTGCAGGTGCTGGAAAAGAAAGCTGTAGGGCACTAGGCAGTGATCTAGCAGACACAAGTCTCTTCCTGAGGCTCCTCAGGCTGGGGACCAAGGCTCTGTGCTGCTTAGTGCCGTGCAAAGACCCAGGCAGAGCTACCCACCTCCCAGTGTCACCCATGTGGTGGCCCTGGGGGAAAATGGAGATGTGGGTAAAGCAAAACAAACATGACTTCAACTAGGGAGACAGGGTCAGCAATGCTCTCTCTTGGCAGGAGGATGCTGTGTCTGTCTATGGATGGCACAGATACACTGTGAGGAAATCCTGCACCCTTTTTATTATTTATTATATTTATTATGTTTATTATGTTTATTATTTTATTTATTATATTTATTATGTTTATTATATTTATTTTTATTATTATTATTGTATATTTTTAGCAAACATCACTAATAAGATGGAGACTTTAGATGTATTAGTGTTCAACCCTGGTGAAGGGCTGCTGGGCATCTGCTGTAGAGGAGCAGCACAGCAGTGACTGCCCTGAGACACAGCCCCAGCACCCTGTGGTCACCCAATGCATGACACCTGACAGCCCAAATGAGTTGGGACCCTGGATTCATCCCCTGGATTCATCCCCTGGATTTGTGAATGTACAGTACAGGATGCTGCACCTTAACCACCCATGGAAGTCCCTGATGTGGTGAGAACGAGGCTCCTTTGGGCTCAATCCTTTGTCTGCTTTGGGAGTGCAAGGCCATGCCCAGAACAACCAGCTCAGGTGGATTCATCTTCACCCAAGTCCCCTCGGTGATGCGATGGGTCCCACCTGCATGACAGCAAGCAATGAGCCTGGAGATGGGGTCACAGAGGCATCAGGAGAGCTGGACTCATGGAAGAGGATCCAGAAGGAGAGCCTTGGGCAGTCTGTGAGTGGTAGAGGATCTGACTATGTGGAAGAATTGCCTAGGGAGCGATGACAGGCAGAGCACTGGATGTGGGCAGAGGAAAACATCCCTGACTCACAGAAAACCCCAGAAAAGTTCTCCTTCCCAGGGGAGCAGAGGAAGCCCTGCTCCCTGACTCCCTGAAGGTGTGTTGAGCTCCTCCAGGATGCCAGGTTTTGGCAGCAGGGCTGAAATAAGATGACAGCTGAGTAGTGACAGGACAGGGATCCACACAACCAAGGGCAGCCTATGGATGACCATGAAGAGGACAACATCTGCCTCATGCAGGCAGTGGCAGAAGAAAGTCTGGTGGCTGGAGACAAAGCCAGGCAAACCCTCATAGCAGTGGGATTTTAACAGGGGCCTGTTAACAGCATCACCACAGGACCTGGAGTATTTACCAGCACTGACAATTTTGCAGCCAAGGATGTTTTTTCCTGAAAGCTGGGCTGCTCTGAGAGCTGAATGAATTGACAGGCCTGAAGGCCTGTATTTATGCAGGAGATCACATCACATTAGTTCCGCGGTCCCCTCTGACCTTGTACCTCTCAATCTATTACATTCCCAGGACACTCATTTGCAACAGCTAACTGCTAAAATTAGAGCTGAGTTAACAATTTAATATATTTACATATACGATAAAGTCTGATAGAAATCTGATCATTGGTATTATTATGAATTCACCGTTCTGATCACTCCTGCTCAAGCAGCGCAGGGACTGAAAGTCTCAAGCAACAGATCAATGAAAATTATTAGAGACCTGGGAAGATTTCTGTGGGAGGTGGAATTGAAAAGATTAGGACCGTTTAGTTCAGAGAAAGGATGAAAAAGAATGGACATGAAAAATCAAAACAGTAGCAACAGCCAGGTAGGCACCCCAATTTTGCACGTTTCGTGCCTGCAGCAAGCCCCACTGTGCCTTGCAGTTGGTCCTGTGGGTATTTATGGGATTGTTTCTGTTCTCTAAATGAATGAGAAAAATCCTTCCAGCCAGGTCACTCTGACATCTGAAACTCTGTTTCCAGAAAGCTGCTGCAGCAGAAAAATCTGGCAAGTGAAGGGGGCATGGGGAGAGGATCCAGCCAGTGTAGATGGCAGGCTCACATGGGGGTCAACACCCCGACATCCCTCCCAGCCACACCACAGGGCTTTGTGTCTGCATGCCCATTCCCCATAAGGAACCATCTGCAGGGGAGGCCCCCTGACCCTTTTGCCCAGTTCCCACAGAAACTCCTCTGATTACAGGCAGTTGGGAGCTTCCCAGTTGTTTATGGCTGTTCCCTCTGATGCAGCAAGGAATGAGATGCTTCTTAGCATGGGTCCCACCTCTTGAGTCCCCTCAAAACTCAGGACCTGGTGACAATCTGGTCCCTAGCAGAGGACGTGGAGGGTTAAATGGCATTTCCAAAGCAGCTGCTTCCCACTGCTGGTCTTTTAGGCTGGCATTTTCCCAACAGGCTTTGTCTCTTCGTCCCATAAGCACTGACCTGGGGCTGAGATGTCCATTCCCTGTCCATCCCCTGCCCCCCTGCCCCAGGGACCCATGGTGACCTGTCCCAGCGAATTCCCTCTGTGCCAACAGCCGCTTCATACTTACCCCATGTGAGGGATAAGTCATCCAGCCCCAGTCCCCCGGGATTGTTGACGTGTCCAGCAAGTTCACTGGAAAACACAGGAGCAAAAGGCTGTGTTAGAAAGCTTTGTCCCCACCTCCAAGGGGTGAGGAACCAAGGCACCAAGAACCCCCTCCACACATGACACTTGCTTGAATGTTCCCCTACCACCCCTGCCATCAATCTGCTGTCAGGGAATGCCTGGCTGGACATGAGGAAGGTATGGATGAGGGGATGGCAACAAGTGATGCTGCCCAGAGCTGGTTGATCAGGACAGAGTTGAGTCCAGGCAGTGTGACCTTTTGGAGGAGAGTGGGCTGCAAACAACAGGTCAGAGGGAATGCAAAGCAAGGAGGGGCTGTGGAAACAAACTTCCAACACCAGGTTGTCAACCATTCCCACCTTGGGCCAACACTGATGCAACTGGAACATCGTTCCTCAGTTGGACACTTCTCCTCTGGAAGCCCTTTAGGCTCAGCTCCCTCCCAGCATCCCTGGTTTGAAGTCTGTGCTCCAGCAGCTGCTGTAATTGCACACTGCAGTGCCTGGCTCCAGCACAAAGTGACCCCCCATGGTCCTGGCTGACACCCCACTGGAGAGGTCCATCAAAGCCAAACCTTCCAAATCCCTGCCACCACCGGGAGCCCGGCTTAACGAGGAGCCACAGGCAAACTGCAGGAGGAGAGCAGCTTGTGTGGGGGGAGAAGTGAGGACGCCTTTGAATGTGCTCAGGAGCTTCCTGTGGAAACCTGTGCAGTGTCAGCAGTGGGGGAAAGCAGGATGCCATGACCCTGCTGCCTCAGTCATCCGAGCCCCAAACCCAGATCCCACAGCACCAGGCAGAGGAGAGCCTTGCCAATGCCTGATAACCCCCTGACTTGCTCAGCACTTGAGGAAGGAGCCCAAGCCCCAGCTCCACAGTGCAGATTCAGAGAGATAGAGGCTTGGGAGAGGGTGCCCTGACCCTTGGGAGTGAGTGCAGTGGGCACCAACACCAGCACCTGATGCCTCATCACCCCTCAACAGCACCAGGCTCCCCCAGTGCCTCCAGCTTTCCCCATTGCTCCTTGTCCTGCAGCCACCCAGTAAGGTGCTGCATCCCTGCTGGCTGCCTTTCCTCACCCTTGGGCAGCTTCAAACTGGACCTCAAGGCACCTTGTCACAACATCCCTCTGCAGCACCAGGTCTGGGCTGGTCCCTGGGCTCTGGAGGGACACTGGTCTTGGTGCAAGGACCAACTTTGTCTCAACGGGGACGGGGCACTTCAGGACAGCAGCTCCAGCCCTGGCAGAGCCCGAGCTCAGCGTGAGGCTGGTCCCTGCAGCCCGAGGAACGGGTGCCACTTTCATTTACTATTACCAGGCAGGGAAGGAGAGGGGGGGAGAGAGGAGCAGAGACGTGAGCTGGCTGTGAAACACCCGTACGTCATGCTTCTGACAGAGCAGATTAGGAGCTTTTGAGGCATTTATTAATGTTAGCAGAACAATTTGAAAGAATTTCCAGGGTTTCTTGTGCGGCTCCATTGGCCCAACAGCAGGCTGAGCCCCTCCACTCCCCGCGCGGCGCTGCTCCCACTGCTAAAGAGGCCCCTTGCCCTCAGTATGGAGTAATTACCTCGGAGATCTCAAATCCATTTTTATTTGTTATTGTTAATCTGAAGATTTTCTGCCTATTTTCCCTGGGTAATTCGCCCAGCAGGAGCCCAGGTTTGGGAGTTTCCCTGCTCACAGTGCAGGAGCACGGTCCTGGTGACCCTCAGCAGGCAGGTTGCAGGGAGGGGACAGTTTTCACAGACCCTCTCTTTCCCCCCCCCCGTGGTCTCTGCACCCTCTTTCCCACGCCGAGATGCTCTGCAGTGGATGTGGGTGCCTTCCACTGCTCCCCAGGCAGCACGAGGAGCCTGCATGGAGCGGGATCCAGCGGGAGCATCGTGTTGGGAGGAACGATGTTGAGACCACATAGTGGGGGTACCCCAGACTTGTCTGCACAGGGGTGTGTGCAAGCTGGAGCCTGCTTGCCACACCCATATGCTCCCCATGTCGTATTCACCCAGTCCCACAGAGATGGAGGAGTCGTCTCCTTGCGGGTGCTTTGGTGCCCACCATCTTGCATCCGTGCTCAGATTCCTCATGCCTCTTTGCAGGAAGAGGGATAAGCTATTTCTTTTTGCTCTCTCACAAGCAGTTCAGCCAAGTGCACGGGGGAGTCCTGTGCGTTAAGCCCACCGTGGCAGGCTCTGTACAAACATAAAGGCACTGCGTGTCCGAGAGCTCTTGCGTTAGCTCCCGGTACAGCACACACATCTGTGGATGCGAGTGGCCATCCGGCAGCACTGCGGCGTGCCGTGCTCGGGTGTGGGCAGACCAACAGCCTCCCAAAACCCAACCTGTTACAGACCAGGCTACGGCCCAACTCCGAAGGGAACCGTGCGACAAGTGCCCGTCCGGCCCCTCGCAGGTGATGATCTCCCGGCTGCGCCGCTGCCCCGGGGGTGACGCTCAGAGCCCGCCCTCGCTGCCGGAGACCCCCACAAAGGACCCCTTTCAGCTGAAACTTTTTTTTTTTTCTCAGAAAATGTGCCGGTTTGGGAGACCTCTCTCCTACAGCTGGGCAATTCTGTTTGATGTTATGGACTGTCTGCACGTATCAGCCTCAAACTGCGAGCTCCATTTTGTTTTCCCGAGCACCATTTTGTCGTTCCCCCTATTCTGTGCCTTGGCCTTGCCTCGGCGCATTGAGCCAAAACACCAGGAGGTGTCAGGGGAAATTCTCGCCCTGGTGGAAAAGCTGTCAAGCCCGATTGCCCTTTCAAATGGAAGCACCTAGGAGTGAGCAGGTTGCTTCCCAGCACCAACTGGGGTCTGGAGACGGAGCCTCACGTAAGGCAGACCCTCTTGCTGCATAAAGTTGCATCGTGTAATGGGGCATGAGTAGAGCACATTGCAGCCTCATAGCCACAGATTAGACAGGAGTCAAAGTGTATGAATCTGTATATGATGTATATGTATATTGTATTTCTACCTCTACCTTTATTTTTGGATCTGTGTCTAAATCTGTATCCACACCCATATCTACCAAATCCCAAACGCCGCTTGGGATGAGTGAGGAAGCTGAGGCAGGGACCAGCATCCAGAGGATGTGAGTTTTTCCTGGAACCATCTATCTCTTGTCATATATCTACACCTATATCTTATATCTATGTTTATATCTGTATCATTTATATCTATATCAATATCTATATTTATATCTATATCATCTATAAAGAGTGAGTGCTCAGATACCCTTCCCAGCACTTGCACTGGTGGCCACAGCTCCTGCAGGGATGTATTACATCCCTACAAACGGATGCATGGGCACCTTGGGGTCTCACATCCAAGTGTCCTAGGCTCAGAAATGGGCTCCTGGTATCTAGGGGAGCACGTGGATCTTCAGCCCACCCAGGGGTGCGTGGTGGGGTGGTGAAACAAGTCTGGGGCTGACAGGCTGGGGGATGCGCTGAGCCTCTGGAAGAGCAGTGGGGGACCAAAGAGAGCTCTGAGCACCCTCACTAATTGTTAACCCACTGCAGTCCTTCCTCTAATTACTCCACCGTCTCCCTCCTAGGCAGGGGCTTTGTAGCGCAGGCGTGGGGAGGAAGGGTCAGTGGGAGCAGCCCTGTTCCCTTGGGCTTCAGTTCCTCTCCATCACAACTTCAAAGGCCTCCCAAGATTCACAGCCAGGCTCCCCCCCATGCAACAACGCCTTTTGCATCGATAATTAAAACTCTTATCAGCATGGTTTGGCACTCCTGCTCCCCGCTGCCCAAGGACCAGCAGGCTCAGCTCTGCGGCCCCAGGCGGGTCTGCACACCCCACACCAGCCCCACTCCATGGGGGAACAACACAGGGAGGGTTATCCACAGCAGGAAGAAAGTCAGGGTATGGGAAAGGGGCAGGGAAGGCTCCCTGAGAGAAGGGGAACAGGAGCCAGTGGCATTCATTTCCTGTAAGATCGGGCAGGACTTTGAAGGGGCAGATGGGGCCGGGCTGGGTCAGCTGTTTGTGTCCCACCATTTAATCCAAGAGCCTGCTGAATAGCAACTCGTGAGGCAGAGCTGAGGCACAAAGCTGGGTCTTACTGGCCTTGGAACATGGCAGGGGGAAAGGACGGGAAGCTTCACTTTCAGCTTCCTGATCCCTGGGACAATATTTATCTTTAAGGAACGAAAAATAACCATTTATTCCCCAACATGGGAGGCTCAGAGGGAGGAGTAGCAAGCCTGGGGGGTAGGTTATCTCTCCCCATTTGGGAGCTGTGCACAGGGGATGTTCCCCACAAACCTGGGTCAGCACTGCAGCAGTGGGGTGCTGCTCTGCCAGACCAAAGACCGGATCCAGGTGGGATTTGTCCAGCAGCTGCTCATCCACAAGGCTGCACATACTAAGGACACAGCAGGGATGGTGCTCACCTCGGCACCCACCGGCCTCGGCTGCCCAGAGAAGGAGTTTAGAGAAGTGATGTGGGTAGATCTAAAAAAATGTCACCAAAACCAGGATTTCCACACTACTGGAAATGCCAGAATCAGGCTGGGGGAAAAAAAAGCAAACAACAACCCTTCCCTCCAAAAACCGAACCAAACCAAACCAAAAAAAACAACCAACCAGAAAAAAAAACAAACCACAAAACAAAAACAAGCAAACAAATGAAACAACTCCACCCCCCCAAAAAAACCAAAACCAAGCTAAAAAGAAACATTTTCAAACGAAAGCAGTGCTGCTTTTTGGCCATGCCCTAATTCCCATCTCAGGATTTCTTCTCAGACCTCCAGATTGTTGCTGTGAACTTTCTGTATTTAATTTTATATCGTTTTGTAATGCATCAGGAGTGGTAATGCCCATAAGGACTGCCCAGAGGGTCACCCCTTTTCACTATACCCAGAGCAGGAGATACTTTGATGTAGGAAGAAAGCTTGTTTGTTCAATCAGTGCTAATAAAAAGCTGCAGTTCAGGTTTTAAAAATAAAATTATCAACCTGATCCTTCCAGCCCCTGCATGATATCATGTGAGATA